CACAACCTAATACTATAGCTCAGTGGTTCCCAATCCTGGTCCTGGAGAACCCCCTACACTGCACGTTTTTGGTGTCTCTCTTATCTGACGCACACATTTAAGGTCTTGGAGTCTTCACTAATGAGCCGATGAGTTGAATCAGGTGTGTTTGAATAGGGAGACATCTAAAATGTGCAGTGTTGGGGGTTCTCCAGGATCAGGATTGGGAACCACTGCTATAGCTTAACATATAACCATTGCCCAACCTGCCACCAGATGATCCAACACTACACCTTAACATGGCACTTGACTGAACATTCCATTACAATGCTCAACACACCACCATACCCCAACACTGCACACCCAGTAGACCACCACATGATCCAACACTTTAGCCCAACACACCACCAGGTGACCCAAAATAACAGCCCAATGCACCACTTGACTGAACATCCCAACAGCATGCTCAACACACCACCACAACTCAACACTATCTCTCACACAATCTCAAAACAACAGATCAACACCACCAGACGACTCAAAACAACACTTTACTGAACATCCAAGCACCATAGCTCAACACAACACCATAAGTTAACAATATAGCTCAACACAACACCATAAGTTAACAATACAGCTCAACACAACACCCGATTACCCACCTCAACAGCTCAATACACAACTTTTGTGAACATCCCAACATCATGCTCCGCACGCCCACTACAAGCCAACACTATACACTTAGCAAAGACAGAACACAACAGCTTAAGCCATTACCACAACCCACACTACAGTTCAGCATGCCGCTTGACTGAACATCCACCCCAACTCCACCCTAACCCAACACTACACGTCCAACAGACCACTACATGACCCAACACAACAGCTCAGCGTGCCATTTGGAACCTCTCAGCAAATTACTATGATCCCACCACAACAGCTCAGCCAATATCATGACCCCAAATTATACCCAACACTATAGCTCAAGGGATAGTCCACTCAAAAATGAAAAGTTTGTCATCATTTACTCATCCTCATGTCGTTCCAAACCTGACTGATTTTCTTCTGCTGAACAAGATATTTTGAAGAATGTTGGCAACCAAACAATATTGGTGCCCACTGGCATTGGCTACACAGACATTTCTCAGAATATGGCTTCACAGAAGAATGTAAGTTACACAGCTTTGGAGTAACATGAGGATGATTAAATTATGTCAAAAGATTTACCAGGGCAAGTAGTAGTGGGCTTCCTTACTACTGTACTGCCATCAGCCAACCTGCTGCAACAACACCAATCACCTTCCCCAGCATACTTCAGACCAAGCGACATCATGCTCTTAATATATTGTAATATTTGCTGGACACATATATTTTATATTTGTTTAAAAAGGCAGGCATTTTTTGTCATTGTTGCTGCTTCACTGGATTGATGTCAGGTTGATGGCGAGAGCTTTCCCATTGGGTGTGTTGAGCTTAGGGATGATAGATGACTATCTGGTTGGTTTGTGTGTGTCAGTGTGTTTGTTCACATGTGTGCGTGTGTTTGAGAGGAAGGCGTGACAGCTGCATAGGCAGCGGGATTGACCTTCACGCAGGGAAATCTCAAGGCCTGTTTGATTACACGGTATTCTGCTGCTTTGCGTTCTTTAGCGCTTATAAAACTTAATTCGTGGACAACGTTTAATCTGTGATCGGCTTCTTTTGACTGCCAGTGTTATTGTTCAGGGCCCTCCATTAGGGTACATGTTGTTCAAATTATATGGTCACATGTAAGGCTGTTATCTTTGTTTTTTGAAGCTGTGGTATTGTGTCCGTATATACTTAAAGTGGCCTTAAAGTGTTTAAAATGATATTTGGACACTGTTAAAATTACAGGGTCTCGCTTTCTCTTTGTGGTTTACTAAAATGTAATTAGATTTAGTATTATACAGTTCTGCTTTTGTTTACATAGTACTTGCAGAATAAAAAAATAAAAAAAAGAGATAGATTTCACACAACAAAATAATAATTGAAGTTACTCAAATATTTACCTTGTTTCATAATACCATATGTTGCCTAAACAAGCAACTGTAAACTTTTAATAGTTGTACATATGTCTCTGGGTTGATCTGGAATGTGAAAACTATCTGTTGTTCTTGATAAAATTCTTCCAGGTTCTACAATTTCTTTGGTTTCTCAGCATGCTTTGCACATTAATTTTTTCTCCCATCGCTATATGATGTCTTGTTGCTATATGATGTTTGACGAGTCAACAAATTATATTAAGAACAAACGTATTGTAGATTCTAAGGTTTATGTAAACTTATTGTTACATTATCCATTTTTTTCTCAGATTTCCTTCAACATCCTGCAGTTATAACTTTGTCATATCATCATAGAGACAATTAAAAGTGTGTGTGTGTGAGAATTCTCAAACTCATTGAAACATTTTTTTAAACAATTCATGCATGAATTTTTTTTTGACTGATTAGTGAACAAACGTTTCAAGTGCATGTTCTCAAAAGCTCTTGTAAGGCTTTGCATTTCACATGCATTTTACAGAATTTCACTTAAGGGCTAACCTAAAGTAAAGCCTCTGATCATTTTCCCATTAGTTTGTTTGTTTTCGTAGCTGGGAGTGCATAAAACATGTTTTCTGTTCCTGCCGTGTCTGGCGATGACTGCAGAGCTTCAGAAACTTTCCCACATGTTTTACCTTTGTTTAAAAAGCGCTCCATTTCATGTGGAGGCACATGAGTGTTTTTTCTCTCTCTCTTTTGCTCACTCTTGTTCTTCCTTTTGCTTCCATCTGGTCTTCATTTCCACCAGACTTCAAAGGTGAAGGAAATCGAGGATAGGAAATGGGTTGAATATTAATTTGGCCTTATTGTCACGAGTTGCTGCATTCTGCACAGATGAACTTTTACCACAAATGTAAAGTCAAATTACCACAGTGTTTATCAATCCGTTCAAAGACGATTGCTGTGTCCTTGTGTGTGAGAGAGAGCGATTTTGTGTGTGTGTGTGTGTGTAGCACGGTTCTTCCATTAGCGTGTGAGTGATGACCTCCAGTGTGGGCAGTTTAAGTTATAGCGCACCCCCTCCTCTCTCTCAGATGGCGCTAATTGTCTGGTGGCCATTTTTGAGGAAGTATTTCCAGGTATGAGTTTTTTTGCCCTCTGGATGGCCATGTCTTTTTTTCTTCTATATTTATCTTTTTCCCCATCCCTTCTTTTCTCCAGGATAAACCGCAATCGGCCTAATGATGAAAGAATAAGATTATCAACAAGAGAGAAAGAGATCTGGTCCAAGGCTGTTTTTTCCCAGTCACAGAACTCACACACTGATTCCATTTTGTCAGCTTTCAGCTGGGCATAATACAGCGATAAAAGACTCTGCCCTGCAGCCACACTGAATCATACAGTGCAAAAAGAGAGGGAGAGAGAGCAAGAAAGAGATGAGAAAGCGAGAGAAAAGGAAAGAGAAGTCTCTTTGTGCTGTGTGTGCTCATATTGTATGAATAAAGATGAATCACTTCTATTTAGGGATCAGTTTCCTGAAACTGGACGAGTGAGACGATTCCATGAGAGATAGATTGTCGGGACTTGTCTGTGTTTCTCTGAAGGGTTGGAGCTAAACGTCTGCAGTCGTGGCAAGGTGCTCCCTAAAGGACCGGCTCCTCCGACGGGAAGTATCAACCTGGAGCAGAAAGAACTAAAAGGAAAAAAAACCTCCCCTCCCGTCATTTCTCCTCGCACACCATCCTCACAGCTGCTCACAGTTTGCAGTCTATCCGAAGGGGGTGCGTTATCATTTCATCTAAATTCCTCCCCCTAGGCAAGTCAATAAAAAAAAAATGTAGCATCAAAACGTTTTTGATTAGCTGGTCCTCAGGATGGATGAAGATGTTTGGGGAGAGCTCAGCACTCGCAGAGCGAGCTTTGAGCCACTACGCACAGATTCTGGCTTTCGTTGGCAGTAGCGCCATGTTATTGTGGTAATGATCAGGCCGAACATAGTGTTTAGGAAATGATGAACCCCACCAGCGCGCTCGCCATTATTTCAGTCCATGTCTTTCTGAGCTGTCATCCCGACTGAACTCCCCCCGATGACATCAGCTCTAACGCTGCACGTGTCCTTGGCCACTGCAGCGATGGAGCGCCTCCACCGTAGACGGATGAGTCGGATTTTGATTGACGTGCGGATGCTGTCAGTCACAGCCTGGCTCACTGTGTAGCAAACAGTGGTAAACTGTTCCAGACATCTAACTCTGCCCAGATGGAAATGTTTTAAAGAACTAAAATAAGGAACTAACTGCCCAGCCACAGATTACTCGGAGCGCGTCTGCTGTTCGTTTGTGGTGGTAATTTGTTTTAGCTTTTTTTAACTCATTGTGAATGTGGTGTTTGTTTCTGAGCAGTGTGTGTATGTACAACTTGTGGTCTGTGCAGATTGAGGAGATTGGAAGCCGAACCTGATTTGTGTGTCTGTTTCACCTTTTTGACTCACTGCTGTGATGTTCCTGATAATTCTTAAGCACACATACACACACACAAACAGACAGAAACACACACAAAGGCTGTGAGAAAACTGGAGCAGGCTGGTTTTCTGCACAAAACAGCATGTGCGCTTGGAAAAACGTCCCACACACCCTGGGTTTTAAAGCCTTTCTGTAAATCCAACAGGTTTAGCAGGAAAAAAGACGGAACCAGGTGCGTGTATGAGCATTCACACATTCATGTGTTTTTGCTTTACTTGTGTGGGCATGTGAAAAGTGGTTGTCAGTGTCTTTGTGTACGTAGGCTATGCGTGCGTTTTTCTTACTTGAAACCATTGGCAGCCACAGGTTGGGTGTAAACACACTAAACACTGCATTACTCCAGCCACAATGCTGAAACCTGTTGCCGTTGACTTGTCCCCTTGAGGCCAAAGCTAAATATTAAGTGTAATTTAGGACATTTACCTCAGTTTTGTTTCTGTTTAGTGACCAAATATGCCATTAAAACACTTTCCTCTCTGTTTCTTTTTCCGGTCTCCTACAGGTGGACAAGCAGTGATGTCACACAGCTGAGGACACTCCCACTCAGTGAGTATTTGTAGCATAATGCTTAATAGCCAGTTGTCATCACTTTTTTTTAAACTTTTTTCCTTCTGTGACTTTGCATTTGTTGCAAGACCAGTTTTCCAGTTTTGAAGCCATTTGTCACGGTTATGCACCTCTGTGTTTGTTTCGGGTAATTGGATGCTGTAACCGAAAAGGGTGAACACAGATTCAGCCGATTTAAACCTAATTTAATTTAGTTCTTAGGATGTGAGTCTCTCTTCTCACCCCTCTCCCTCCCAATTAGCTGAAACAAAGCTCTCCAAAGGCAATTGTTTGGTTGACATTTCTTAAGCTTGCTTTGTGTTTGTTTTTGTTTTTTTGTATTTGTAAAGATCTTTAATTTGGCAATTCATTTTCACAGCCGAGTCTCTCGAACGATCCGCTGCGGTGGAGAGAGGTTGTGCTTTGGAACAAACAAATCAGCCAGTTTCTCTCTCTCCCTGTGTGGTCTCATGCTAATTGGTAGCTCGGATGCTGGTCGTGGTATTAGCGGTGATGCTAGGCGGGTGGCAGCCTCGCAGGGCTCACTGCTCGGCTGCATTGTTTCATTCCCCAGCTCCCTTGTGGTTTCAGAGAGTGACAGAAATACAAGGACAGTTCTTTCCACTCTCTCGTCGTCTCCCTCTCCCTCTCCCTCTCCTTCTCTCTGTCTATACCACTAACTAGTGACAATGTAGCGTTTGAGTTCTGGAGTGCTTAAAGACTGAGAAACGGACTGCAGCTGCCTCAGGTGAACATGCAGCTGTGTGTAGACCAAGTGCTTCCTCAGATGTGCATGTGTTTTAGAGAAAGTGTATGTGTCTGTGTGGTGGCTTACAGATGACTTTTATTAGAAAAGTGCTCCATTCACACTCCAGAGGAAATTATATATATGGAAAGAAATATAAGGATGGCAAGAAAGACTGAATGGAATAGGGAAAAACAGAGACAGACAAAGACGGCCTCTCAGCTCCTCAGCTACACATCACTGCGGCCTCTCGCATTGGCAGCAGTCACTGCCACCGTCTCAGCCATCAATAATGGTAATGGAAGCTCCATCCGAGCATTGATTTCTGGGAATTGTAGGAAGGCGTGAAGGGTCATCCGTGCTCAACGGCTCTGCTCGTTTAGTGACATTCCTGTATGTCTGACTTACAAGGCAATCATGCTTTGGAGGCAGCACCATGCATGTCCTTTTAATGCCAAAGCATTGCCTTAGAAAAAAAAAATTGGAGAAAAACTTGTTTTTGGGGCTGTCAGTTTAACACCTTCATTTACTACAATTAATTACAAAAAATAAGGTGTTAAAGGAATTGACACATTTAATCATGCCCGCTGACTTACTGGCTATGTGCTTCATCAACTTGAATTTGCTGAGAGCAGGCAGCAATGAATAACAACTATGGAACAGAGATATGTCTGTAGCAGTGTTGTTATAGTTAACTGAAACTATTACAAATTGTTTTCGGTAATTGAAGTTAAACTGAAATAATAATAGTAATAATAAAAAAGATCAGATGAAAAACCTAAACAAAAAATGAAAAATAACTTAAGTAAATAAGTTTAATTTGAAGTACTTAAATTACTAAAACTAACAATAAATTAATGCTAAACAGAAATATATAATATATACCAAAATAACACTGGTCTTTAAAAGTCCTTGAGTCTACTTCGGAAAGATAGGTGACTCAATTACAGAATCCACTTTTTGTAATGTCTATTTATCTCCCACAGTAATGTTACATGTTTAATTTATTTTAATTTGGTAACTTTTCCCAGCAAATACTGATATATGCAGTTAATTAATTTTAATTTATTATCTACATAACATGAACTCAATTCACTTTCAATTTTTAATGGATTTTATGCTTGGTTTTTCTTCAGAATGTTAGAACCAGCATTGCAAAGTAAGGATATACAGGTTCCTGTAGCTTAAACAGTATATGCATTGCAACACCAATGTCATGGTTTTAATTCATGAACTTGATAAATTTCATGAAAAGAGAAAAATAATAAGTTCAAATAAGCAATATAAGTTGCTTAGGAAAAGTCTCTGCCAAGTTCATAAAAGTAAATATAATGTTAACTGATATTAGAAACTAAACAAAAGCATACTGCAAGGGTCATAGGGATGAACTTTCCTTTCTCATGAAAAAAGAAAGGAAGGGATAAAACAAAAGACTGCTTGGACACCCAGAGGGAATTACACAAGTTTATGGATGGAGAGAATATCAACCTTGAGTTGAAATTGTAAAGTAAAATCAGGTCTGTCAGGACATATCGAGGAAAAACATAATCCTCTATCCTTTTCATTTTGAAATGGAGGTTAGAAATTGTAGTCACTGAAAATGCTGGAGACTATATGGAAGAGAGAGAACTGAGCTCTTGCAATTTTGCCCAGGGGCAAACCAGCTATTTATTAGCGCACATGTTAAACCCTCTCTCTTCAAAGCAAACTTTCCTCCCAGCCTCCCACAGAGGGGGAAAGAGAATAATAAAGCAGAGGAAATGGCATTTCTCTGCACAAAAGTGGATATGAGTGTGTTCAGTGTAACCAACTACTCTTTATTTCGGGTAGAGAAAGAAATGGAAAATAAAAGCAAGAGAAGACAAAGGAGGGCAGTGAAAGGGAAAAAAGAGGCAAGAGAGAGTGTTTGAGCATAGATCTTGGCCAGGCAGTGTCAGGCTCCTGGCCTTTCTCTTTCTCTTTCCTGCATCCCTGGGGACGGCTCATAGCTCATACTTCCTGCTGGAGAGATCTTGAGCAGGAATCATGGTTGGGGGGGTCTGTTTTCATTGCTGGTGCTGTGCAGTAGGAGTGTGTCTGTACTTGTGCGTCAGAGGCAAAACATACCAGTTGTTTGATACAAATAATGCAGGCCTGCTGGATTCTCTGTGTGTGTGTGTGTGTGTGTGTGTGTGTGTGAGAAAGGTATAATGGACCCCTGCCTGAACTCTGCTGGGCTCTCCAGATCCCTGGTGAGAGTTATTACCTCAGTACAAAATGCTGGACACACACACATATGCACACGCACAGTGAAGGTGAGAGTTTGAAATGGGGTGCCTCAAGTGTCTGTCATTGGCCCTTTTTGTTTTCTCTCTCTCTCTAATTGTCCCTCTACTTGCCGTTTGTGATTTTACTGTTCCTTCATGCCTTAAATATTTATGCCCGGCCAAGTTAAGAGGCTATGCTGATTCTGACTGTAGTGGAGGATACAGCAATAAATACGGAATCTTCCATAGAGAGAAAGAATGAGTCAGTTATGAGGCAGTTAATATTCAGAGTACATCATAAACATAATTTCATATTATCTCGCCTTAGCCAGGCCCCCCCTTGCATAAGTGTTATCATCTATGGTTTATACACATACACACAATACACATGCTCTCATATGCAGGTTACACAAAATGGATAGACACTATTCATTTGCTGTTGTCATTGTGCTTTAAAGTGGCAGTGCAATGACAACATAAGCCAAAAATAACAGTATAGGAACATGTAAGCACTCCTGAATCCATCATAACTAGAAAGATAGATAAATGAATACAGAAAATAGAAGAATTAGAAGATGGGGCTGAGAGAGCGGGAGGGAGAGAGAGAAAAGGAGAGGGGAAAAACATCCAGAAGGTCAGGATCAGCGGGTGGCCATCTAAGGGAGCGACATGGAGAGACTCCGATTGAGTTTCACCCGCCCCGTTACCGTGGAGATCCATCCAATAATACCAACCTATCCACAGCAGAATCACTATAATACACTACACCTACAACAGACTGACAAATAGTGCACTGGCTAAACTGAGACAGCCACAGCAGGCAGTGATCAAATCTGAAGCAATATCTCGATAATGCTCCGTATGAATCCACGTATTTTGCTTCAACAGCACAAATGTTTTATCTTGGCCCAACCCTAAGACAGGTGTTCTTTTCAAATAATGAAAACTACCTATTTGTTGATTGTGGTTCAGCTAAACACTGTAGAACCATGTGGGAGTGTCAATGTGGTTACAATGTTTTTGGACTGCAGATAACTCAAGACCAAACCTATCCAAATTTTCGGGTCCCTGAAGTTCTGTAACACCTCCTGTTTAAATACAGACACAAGAAATGAATCTAAGAATCAAAACGGACACAAAGCCTTAAGGCTTTTCAGAGTAGCTTGGCATAAAACGACAAGCTTTTTATCGGCACTGCTCTTACAAACCTACTGAAATGACTTTAACGAAATTAACCAGCAGTCACCTTCAGGTTTTCTCCACGTGGCCACTTATTTCATTAAGCAAGCAACAGTTGAGTGAAAAATATTTGATTTTGAGTCATTTTCTTCCCTTCTGAGTAAATGGGTAAATGACCATTCACTGCCACCGCTGTCTCCTTTGAAACGGCTTCTTCCTTAGATGAAGATGAATCATGAAATGTCATTTTTAAAAGTTTTCAAGCCATTCACTCGAAAAACAACTCGAAGTTGAAATGGCAAACAGATACTTATAAAGGTGTAAATGGCATCTAACGGATACAAGTTCTTCCAGGCCACTTCCACAACTTTAGCAATTTTAAATGAATCTTCTCATGAACAATACACAATAAGACAATAATTAATGTAAAGTGTCTTGTCAATATTAGACCATCAGAGACCATCAGAGAGCCAGACCGAAACCAGTTCCAGTTTAGACCAACTAAGACTCCGATCAAGAATAGGACATGAGGGCTATATTCTTACAAAGACCATATAATCAACCAATCAACTGAAACAGAAAAAACTTTGTATAGCTTAGGTAATGTCTGGGACTTTCCACAACTAGTTTTTTTTCAGTATGTGGTGATATACTGAAAGAGTATCAGGTCAGCTTCAGAAAATGATTGTAAAGTTTAGGTCTAACTAAACATTATGTGAGTTATTTTCTGTTCATTTTATATGAGGTTTGCCATTTTTGCAACCATGATACCAAAACTCTGATGTGTCATAATGCAGTTTAAAACGTTCATGAGTTTTATTTGTAGCAAT